TGAGCTCTATACCCATGGACTCCACAGAACCTGCCTCGTTTGACCCCCAGCAACCCCTCCTTGCCAAATCTGCAGGCTGCTTGCTTTTCTGGCTTTGAATTTGCCCTTTTGCTGCAGCAGGATCAAGGCATATCTCTTCCCTGTCTCACTGCAGCCCTCGTTAGCTGCCCTTTCCTGGGCTTTCTTCCTTGCAGCAGGCCTCTTCTCCCCCTGCCCTGGGATACTCTAATGGTGATATCAGCCAGCGCCGCGGCACTGTCTTATGTGTGGACAAGTGTTCAGGGGCATGCCACCAGGCAGACTCCATCCTGACTCCATCCTGACCTCCCCACAGATGTCCATGGACACCTTGCCTCCCTGCTTCTCCTACATAGCACTCCCACCTCAAGCAAAGAAATTCTATGACACACTTGCTTTGACTAGTGTCTTCGGATTCCTTCTTTTTGAGGGAGGGTCTCGATTTGTAGCCCAGGATGACTTTGAAATTGGGTTGCTCTTGCTTCAACCCAGGCATGGATAGGGCAGTTATCTGTATCAGGCCCCTAGGTTATTTTAAAAATTGACTCCTTTTGGCTAAGATGAAGTGTAGTATCTGTTCTTATCAGTTTAATATCTGATAGGCCTCTATCCAAGGACAATATATTAAATGGATTTTTGGAGTTAGGAGTTGGAATAGGAGTTCCTCTGTTCACTCCACGCATCAACCAGGTATTACAGTACCTCCAGGAATGGTGCATGTGCGCGTGTACACACACACACACACACACACACACACACACACACACACACACACACACACAGAAACACAATAAAATAAATAAATAAATAAATAAATAAATAAATAAAATGACTCCGTAGCAGAATTTTGAGTGTTTTGAAAGTTAGGATTTGATTATAGCTTTCAGGTGAGGACAGAATACAAGGAACACAGCTCCTCATTTCTGTTCCCATATATGTGCAGGCCTCTGCAAGATGGGGAGACTCACAGGCACCCCATGCTAGGCCACCACACTTGGGAGCCCAGCAACAGTCACCACAAGCCCGGCTACCACATCCGGAAGTCGGAGCCCAGTCACCACAGGCTTGTGTCAGGCCCTCACAGCCCATAGCCCAGTCACTGCAGCTCCATGTCCAGTCATCCCAGCCTGGAGCCTTGTCACCAGAACCCCAGGCCCAGCCACCTCCTATGACTTAGGCCCAAGTACTGAAGTCCCAGAGCCCCCACCCCTTCCCCAGACCACAGGCCAAAATCCAGTCACAACAGCTCCATGTCCAGCCATCCCTGCCTGGAGCTCAGCTGCCACAGCCCCAGGCCCCATCACCTCAGCCACAGGAGGAAGTCCAAGTGGTTGCATCAGAGGAACCTAGAGGAGCAGAAGGCAAAATCCCACTTCCAGGTGAGTGGGTGGGGGTTAGGGGGGTGATGGAGACAGAGGTGTCTCCTGCATGGAAATAGCCACAATGGCATGTTTCTAGATGGCTATCCTCAATAGTTCCACAGTGGCTGGCAGGATGTGGCATGGCCACCTCCCTCTCTTTATTGAGTTTAAAAGCTGGTGAAGTAGAAATGGCTGTTGTTGTCTGATGGGCAGTGTCAACATCTTGCAACTTAGATAAGGTTAGCTTGTGAAAACATCCAACTTCTAAGCTGCTACGCAGAAAAGCCCGAGCAGCCAGCCATCTCAGTGTTGTCCTCCTTGCAGCGTCTTTGGAACAGGCATGCAAGTCACAGGGAGCTGGAGACCTTGGCTGCTGTCCCCTGCCAAGGGTGTGACTCGTGCAGTTGGTCTCTGGACCAATTCTCCATTTTACTTTTCATAGCAAAGTATCTTGAGACACAGGTGACCATCTTTTATTTATATTTAATGTATTTTTCTTTGTGCCGTGTGTGTGTGTGTGTGTGTGTGTGTGTGTGTGTGTGTGTTGCACATGGTTAATGGCCAGAGGTTAATGTTGGCTGCTTTGCAGTATTTTTTTTTCCAGGCAAGGTCTTTCACTAATCCCAGAGCTTTTCCTTTCTGCTAGACTTGCTGGCCAGAAAGCCCCTGGGGTTCTCCTGTGTCCATCTTCCCAGTTCTGGGAAATACAGGCATGTGTCACCGGTACACAGCTTTTTACATAGGTGCTACAGATCTGAAGTTGGGTCCTTATGTTTATGTGGTAGACACTTTACTAACTGCCATTGTTATGTGTGCATCTGTGTATGAATGTGGGTGTTTGTGTGCCACCATGCTTGTATTGGAGGTCTGTGTCTCCAATTGGATGGCTGGCTAACCATGCCTGGCTAACATTTTGAATCTACTATATATGCCATGCACTGTGGCTATAATCTCAGCCCTTGGGAGCTTGAAACAGGAGGAACAAAAAACTTAGACTATCATGAGCTAAGTGGAGGGAATCTGTCTCAAAAACCACACAAGAATTGAAAGAAAGGTTTTAGTAAATGTTGTCTTCACAGATAAGAAACCCAGAACCCATGAAATGCAGATGTAAAATTGAATTCATCAAATGGAAGTCCCCATGTTTATCACCTCACGGTACTTCCTTAGGGCTGTGATCAATTCTTCGGAGAGTGTGTGGTATGTGGTGGGGCTGAATGATGCCCACGGTGCTGTTTCCTGTCACTTTGCCAGACGGGTCTGCGATCAGGGTGTACAGAAACTCGTTGCATCGACACAATTGTTCCAGATTTCACATGTGAAGTGTTTTCTGTGATAGAAGTGCCAACTCCAGTGCCGGATAAGATTAACACTTCCACAAATGGTGACTTGAGCTATAACACGTCTGTAACCCGAGTGACAGGCACCCTTAGCCACCGAGGACACATATTCCCTGGAGAGTCTTTTACAGTTCACCACTGTGCACTGTTACTCAGGCCTAGTAATTGCTGAATAGATATTTAAAACTCTATGCACCTCAGAGTGTAATAAAAATGGGGCAAATTCCCATCCCCATTGCCCTTTGTAGAAAGAGTAGTCAATCCTCTAGTATGAAAAGCCTGAATCTTTTTCCAACTTTTTTAATTTGAATTAGGAACAGGATTGTTTTACATGACAATCCCATTTCCCTTCTCCCACCCATCCTGCCCTACCCCCCCCCCACTAAAACCTTATCTGTCACATATCTTCTCTGCTCCCCCTGGATGGTGAGTCCTTCCATAGGGTGTCATCAGAGTCTTACATTTCCTTTGGGATAGGGCCTAGGGCCACCCCTATGTGTCTTGGCTCAGGGAGTATTTCTCAATTTGGACTGGGCTCCCAAAGTCCACACCTATGCTAGGGATAAATACTGGGCTTCTACAGGAGGTCCTATAGATTTCTGAGGTTTCCTCGCAGAAACCCATGTTTCTTGGGTCTGGATCAGTCCCATGCTGGTATTCCAGCTATCTGCATCTGGGTTCCAGTTCAGATCGGTGATTAGTTATGGGTGTCTGCTTCTACTTCCACCAGCTGCTGGATGAAGGCTATAGGATGGCATATAAGACTGTCATCAAACACATAATCAGGGGAAGGCATTTGAGGTAGCCTCTCCTCTGTTGCTGAGATAGTTAGGTGGTGTCCTCTTTGTAGATCTCCAGACATTTCCCTAGTGCCTGATTTCTCTGTAAACCAAACGTGTCTCCCTCTATTATGATATCTCCATTCTTGTTATTGTGTATTCTTCCCCTGACTCATATTTTCTGCTCCCTCATGTCCTCAGCATCCCTCTTCCTCTCTCCTTCTCATTCTTCTAGCTCCCTCCCCCTCTTCCCGTGCTCCCAATTTGCTCAGCAGATCTTGAGCCTCTTGCCTGAATTTTTAAGCCTTTGCTTGGCACATTCGGGTGCCCACGAGAGGGCAGTGTGGTACCCAGCTACTGGCTTACATATCCCATAATGAATGAGAGTGGGAGCCAACTTTCCAGGGAGCTGCTATGTAAGCTAAGGAGAGATTTTTGGAGAACTTTTTCATCTTTGACAACCTTGACTGTCTTAGCTACTAGCTGAGGTTTGGCAAGAGTCTGCTGTTTTTAAAGGGCTTAAAATTTTACTTTTTAAGAACATGTAGACGTGTGGGTGTGTGCGTGTTTGTGCAGATGCCAGAAGAACATATTTGGATCTTCTGAAGCTGGAGTTGTAGGCTTTTGTTAGCCATCCAGCGTAGGAGCTGGGAGCCAAACCTGGGTGTCCGGCGGGAGCAGCGAGCAGCATGTGCTTCAGTCTCCAGGCTTTCTTTTCAGCTTCCTCTTCCCCCATTTTGCTGTGTTTGTGCTGTTTGTATTTGTTCCTATGTAGAACACTGCCGCACAGCTGTATCAAAGGAGATGACTGAAAGGTCGCGTGGAATCTTCCAAGACCTTGTGGTGAATACCAGGAAGGAGTTGAAACACGTCAAAGATTCAAAGAGAGGTATGATCTGGAAAGAAAGGGTGGCCTGGAAAGAAATTCTGTAAAACTATTAGTTGTAAATTTTGACTTAAAAATAACTAGTGTGACTTACAGCTGGAGAGGAGGCTCAGGGCAGGGAAAAAAGCTTTCGGGTGCAAGTTCAAAGACCGGAGTTCAAATCACCAGAGCTCACATAAGCAGTATGCAGTAGTGTGTGTGTGTGTGTGTGTGTGTGTGTGTGTGTGTGTGTGTGTGTGTGTGTGTCATCCCAGCCCTCTTGCAAGATGGAAAGTGGAGACAGCCCCTGAAGCTCTCAGGCCAGTTAGCAGAGCACATACAGCAGTGAGCAAGAGACACTGCCTCAAACAAGGTGTAGCGGGTCAGGGCCAACACTCATAGTTGTCCTCTACCCTTCCTGTGTCATGCATGTGCCTGCACTTACATACACACACCATATGTACAGGAGAATAAAATAATAATAGCATGTGTTTGACAGAGTCCATACAGCTTCGAGCAGTCACTGTAAGCAGGTACCGCCTTCTCCCTGCCACATATCACTTTCAGATGGATGTGATGGTCTGTTGTAGGGGTCTGGGTGGGTTGTGCACTTTTCTTTCCCACTTGCAGTGCCTAAAGCAGTGGTTCTCAACCTTCCTAACAGTTCGACCCTCGTTAATACATCCCTCATATTGTAGTGATGACCCCCAACCATAAAACCATTTCATGGCTACTTCATAAATGTAATTTTGCTACTGTCATGAATGGCAATGTTAATATCTGTGTTTTCCAATGGTCTTAGGCAGCCCCTGTGAAAGGGTTGTTTGACCCCCAAATTAAGAAGAGTTGGTCTAAAGTAATATGCCTTGCTTTCTAGGGATGGAAGGCCAAGTGATACATCTCCAGACAAACCATTACCAAGTGACGTGTGACTGTAAAATCGCATAGAAGTACAATATTGACTACCAACCAGATGTAAAGGACATAAACATCTGCACACATTTACTACTCAGACATCAGTCCACCCTTGGCAGGTGCCACATATTCGATGGAAACTCGTTGCTGTTACCTCGGAGGCTGCAGCATTTGGTTAAGTAATGTTTGAAACTGTTTTGTAAGAATCTTCCCAACAATAGTGTCCAGGACAGTGCTATGGGACTGATAACACATACATCCTGATGCCCAAGTTTGAATGTCATGCGTCTTGAAGTCTCTTGTTTTAGTACCTAGGTAGAAGCTAAATGGGATTTAAACACAATACAGGCTAAAAATACTGATAGAGGTGCTGGGGATGGGGGGTGGGAGGGGAAGACGGCTCAACCAGTAAAGTGCTGGTGTGCAGGTGTGGGGACCTGAGTTCGGATCCCTGGCACCCAAGTAAAAAGCTGGGTGGGTCCAGGATACACCTGTGACCCCAGAGCTGGGGAGGCAGAGATGGGAGGATCCCTGGGGCTGGCAGTAACATCCAGTCTATTTAAATTTGTGACCTCCAAGTTCATTTAGACTTTGCCTCAAACTCCAGGTAGATATCTATTGAGGAAGACAAAACATTGATCTTTGGCCTACACACACACACACATACACACACACACTCGCACCACACACACACACACACACACACACACACACACACACACACGCGCGCGCACGCACACTCGTAGACACTCACACACACATATATGCTCACATACATATATACTCACACACACGTATAAATGTACGTATGTACACATGCACATACACACATAAAATGCTGACAGACATCTTATTGTTTCATTAAAAATTTTATCCAAAATAAGTTTGGTTAGGGCTCTATTTTCCTTATATATATTTTAGTTTCCTTTTCAGCTTAAAAATTATATTAGTTGGCCAAACTAATTACTTTCAGGAACTTAATTAAAAAAAGAATAAATATAATATTGTGGTGCTTGATATCTGTACATTGTGTCTTCTGAATGTGTGAGAAAAAGCTCTATCTCCGTGTGGGGAGTTGGGTGGCGTGTTGACTGTCATTCAGTGGGAACTAGTTTTCTTGAAATCTCCATTTTGTTTGCTTTAAAGTGTGAGTGTGTTCTTGAATGTGTGCAGGTGTGTATACATATGAGGCCAAAGCCGGGGATCTGAACCCAGATCCTTAGGCTTGCTCAGCAAGCGATTTCCTGACTGAGCTGTCTCCTCAACATCTCCCCTCCTTGTTGTGTTTGAAATCTTAGGAAATGGAGCTTGTCAGCCAGACCGAAGGTGATGACAAAGTGAGAATCAGGATCCAGCTTTCCAGTGAACTCCACCCCAGTCACCCAGACTGGCTTCCCTATTACAACATCCTCTTTAGAAGGTGCATGAGACTTGGTCTCCACCCCCCATGCTCCCTGTGATGCCCCCCCAAATTGTGCTCCCTGTGATGCCTCCCCCACCATGGATGTGAACTCAGCCACATTCCTTCAACTGTGTGTGCTCTCAAGGCCCCACATTGTTGAGAGGACAAGGGTCTTCTTGGTAAAATGATATTTGAACCTCAGCTCCAATGTGCAAGTTCAGTATCTAGCCCCTAGCATCTGTCCTCCTGCCCATAGCTACTTCCTGTGCCTGCCACCTGTCTGAAAAGAGGAACAGATGTCCACCCCTTTTATCTCTGGGGTATGTATATGTTCTATTCTGCACTCATTATAATGACTAAATATGCAAAGGACCATTTGGGCCATGGAGTCTGCAGGATGTTTTAGTTCAGTACTGGGAGCAAAGGATGTTTGAGGCCAAGTTTGAGGGCAAGCTTGAGCCCCCTTGAGGCCCCCCACTTCATGTGTTTGTTACCAAACTCCCTGAGCTCATTGTTCAAACAAGGTCTGTCTTGTTTTCCTGATGTGTCTTCGTGTGTGTGTGTGTGTGTGTGTGTGTGTGTGTGTGTGTGTGCGCGCTCATGCGCGTGCGAGAGAAAGAGAGAGAGAGAGAGAGAGAGAGAGAGAGAGAGAGAGCACTATAGGTCACACTCAGGGTCCTCTCCACAAACCCACTCTTTCCACCTCTAGAACGCTGAGGCTGTCAGACTTGGAGCAGAGTGATTCCAAACTCAGAGAACTCAAAACTCAGCTTCTGTCGTCAAGGTTTGAGGAAAACCGGGAGGAGGAGTAAAACGGTGTCTACAGATTTGATTAGGAAATTTTCTTCGAGACTGCTACTCTGATTTGAAGTCGTGTGAGTTTTTTTCTTGTTTTATTTTATTTTTTTAACCTTTACTGATTCTTTGTGGATTTTACGTCCTGCCTTCTGATCCCACTCATCTCCCCATCCCCTTGCACCCTCCCCAAAACAAACCAAAATGTAAAAGAAAAAAATACTGAACGTAACAACAAAAGAAATTTCCTTGTGGAAGCTGTAGAGTGGCCAGTTGAGTCATATAATTTACCCTTTAACACATTCATGTTTACTTGCAAGCGTTCATTGCCACAGAGTCATTGTCTGGCTCAAGGCAGAGGAAGGCTTCTGCTACACTCCTGATAATGGACTCTTATTGGGGCTCTTTTTGGATATCCTGTCTTGGATCTGTAGGTTCGTCCCCTTCACTTGCTCATAGATGAGGAGGATGTTGAGGTGGTTCTGGGCCTGGGTGGTAGCTAGGTTGGTCAGCCCACCAGCTTTCCATCATTGTCCCAGGCAGGCTCTCCAGCACTGCCTCAGCACTAAAATGACATCTAGCTGGGCGGTGGAGGCGCAGGACTTTAATCCCAACACTTGAGAGGCAGAAAGCAGGCGGATCTCTGTGAGTTGGAGGCCAGCCTTGTCTACAGATCTAGTTCCAGGACAGCCAGGACTGTTTGACGGAGAAACCCTGTCTCAAACCCCCCTAAGAAAAATGACATCTAGCTTGACACTTTAAGCAATGTGGTTGATAAGTACCGTTTAACAAAGACCATGGACCACCCATGACTGACTTCCCTTTGATGGTTCTTCTAAAGATCAGTAGTGCCCAGTGACAAGGAATTTAAAGCAAGCAACTCCTGTGGTGACTGACACTGGCCCTGCCCCAGTTCTGACAGAGAATGCTGGGACTGGCATTCTCTTTGCAGAATGGATATCCAGCGCAGCTACGCCTCGATCCTACCGTACGAGAACAGACTGACCCTGTGTGCTGATGTGACACACAGACTGTTGCAGGTGAAAACGGTGTATGATCTCATACTTGAGAAGAGGGAGAGAGGTGTGAGGAATCTCTGGAAACAAGTCTCTGAAGAGGTAGTAGGATCCATTGTTTATACTAGGTAAGTGCATTTTAGACACCTACCAGTTGCTCTGGCTACCTCTTTAGTCCATCACAAAAGTTCTTGTCATGTCCAAACAGCACACGTTTGTAGTTGGAATTTTCTTTGGGCTGCTAACCAGCTCCCAAATGAAGACACTGAGACTTATTAATTATGAATGCCTGGCCTTAACTTAGGCTTGTCCCACTAGCTCTTTTCATTTAACCTGATTCTATTCATCTACGTTTACCTTTCTTTCATTCTGTATGTCCTACTTCCCTGCTGCTTCTGTGTCTGTCTGTCTGGCTGGCTGGCCCTGCTGTCTCCCTGTCATCTCCTTTTCTACTCCACCCCCAGCCTAAATTTCTCCTCCTGTTTACTCTCCCTGCCCAGAAGTCCCACCTATCCCTCCTCCCTCATTATTGGCCATTCAGCTTTTTTATTAGACCAATCAGGTGCTTTAGGCAGGCAAGGTAAAACAGCAACACATCTTTGCATAATCAAATAAATCCAACAAATCTTTGCATAGATAGACAAATATTCTGCAACATACATTCATGAAGCTCAGGGCTAAGGTACGACAATGGCAAGCATTCTGTGACCCTTCTCACTTGGGTATTTGTCTGGTGTCTGTCTCTATGCCCTTTTACGTCCCTTTGTTTGCTCCTGAGCCTTGATGGTTTTTCTGATCAAGTTCATCCCTGTTCTAAACTGTTGGTATCTATTGCTAGATATAGCCCAAGGGCGACTTCCACCTCTGAAGATGCTTTATCTTCATTTCTCCTTCCACATCAGAAACTTTTTTTTTTTTTTTAGGAATTTAATCCAAAGATTTTTATTTCTTACATTCCAATCCCAGTTCCCTCTCCCTCCTCTCCTCCCACTTCCCCTTCCACCTCCCATCTGCTCCTTGGGAGAGGGTAAGGCCTCCCCTAGGAAGTCTCCTAAGTCTGTCCCATCATGTCATTGAAGCAGGGCCAAGGTACCCTCCTCCACACCATGTGTCTAGGCTGAGCAAAGTATCTCTCCATATAGAATGAGCTCCACTAAGTCAGTTTGTGCATTAGTGATAGATCTTGGACCCACTGCCAGTGGCCTTATATATTGTCCCAGTCACATCACTGTCACCTATATTAAGGGAGTCTACTTCAGTCTTATGCAGGTTCCCCATTTGTCAGACCTGAGTCAGTGATCTCTCACTATCTCGGGTCAGCTGATTCTGTGGGTTTCCTGATCATAGTCTTGACTCCTTTGTTCATATTATCGCTCCTCCCTCACTTTGATTGAACTCCAGGAACTTGGTCCAATGGTTAGTTGTGGATTTCTGCATCTGCTTCCATCTGTTTCTAAAAGAGGGTTCTAGCTTCTCTGGGGTTATGGATTGTGGGCTGGGTATCTTTTGCTTTGTGTCTGGTATCACAAACTTTGAGTAAGTGCAGTCAAAGAACCAGTGGGAAAGATAGAGCCAAGGACTCGATTTGCTTGACTTTAAAACATTATTAGAAAATACAGGAACCCTGATAGGCAGGTGGAGCAGAGTGATGGGCTGAGGGTCTAAGTCCCTTGGTGTTTGACAGGGGTGTGAATCACTTAAGGGCAAGAATAGTCTTTTTAATAGCATACTGGGGGTATCTGCCTATTCCTCCCGACAGAACACACAAAACTCACTCAAATTTAACTTGGGAACTCAAACAGACTTACTTTGTAAAAATATAATTTTTTTTTGTAAAAAAAAATCTGGACTTTAGATTCAAGCAAAACCCTCCTAGATAAGAAACCAAAAAAAAAAAAAAAAAAAAGAAAAAAAAAAAAAAAAAGAAAAAAAAAAAAAAAAAGAAAAAAAAAAAAAAAAAGAAAAAAAAAAAAAAAAAGAAAAAAAAAAAAAAAAAGAAAAAAAAAAAAAAAAAGAAAAAAAAAAAAAAAAAAAAGGAAAAGAAAAACATATAGGTAGTGTTCTAAGCACATGGTCAAAACATGAGGGCAAATGGACAGGAAGGGAGAAAATGCTTGCAAGTCAGAGTAATACTTGACACTCATGTGGACAGCCAAGAAGCATCTAACAGTCCAGTGCAGATGTGGCAAGTCAGAACCAACCACAAATAAAGTATCACTAGAGTATAAAATCTTAAGATATGAAAAGATTTCTCTGGAAAGCATCTGACATGCCTTCCATGGTGACAATGACTTCACTCACGACCCAGAAAACTCACTCAGTTATATAGGTATTTCCAAAGGGAAACAAGAGCTCATCTCTACCAAAATTGATGCATGGATGACCATAAATTCCATTGCAGTCCAAAGCTAAACAAACCTGGTGTCTTATTTCTTATCAGTAGATGAGGTATTATATGTCCATACAATGGAATACACTTAGAGGCAGGAACATGTGGCATGCTGATGATGGTTATGGTGTAAATGACCCTTATGCCAAGTGGAGGAAACCAGTCAGAAATGACTGTTTTCTATGAGTCAGTTTATATGAAACGTGTGACCAGGCAGTATATAGAGACAAAGAGCACTGGGTGGCTACCTTGGGCAGGATCAGGAGATTTGGAGAAAATGAGTAACCACTTAGGGTTTTAGGATTCTTTCCTTGGAAGATGAAATGTGAAACTGTGGCAATGGTCAACTGGTCAACCCCTTTTTCTTAAACATGGACAGGATCGCTGGAATGGCTGAGCTTGCGCAGTGTGTCATAGAATTTGTAATACTTTTCTTCCCTGCATGGCTGCGTGCCATGGTTGGATGGTCAGAGCTGACCTCTTACCTGGCAATCATTCACCACAGGTACAACAAAAAGACCCACAAGATCGATGCTGTTAACTGGAATCAGAGTCCCAAAGACAGGTTTAGAAAGTTTGATGGCAGCATGATCACCTTCACAGACTACTACCGGGAGGTGAGGATTCTGCTCTTTGAATATTTAAATCGTGAAGGTGCTCATGTTAGATAAATTTATCTCTGCATTTTCTTTAGATGCCGGAGAAATGCATTAATACATCTGTTATATCTATGGAGACGTGGCGATTTAGCGAGGAGGTCACAGTGTCTCAGAAAAGCAGAAAGAACTGAGCTTGGCAGATAAGGAAGAAGCACGGGGCTCAGGCACCACATTCAGGATGTGTCTGGCGGGAATTGTCATCAGGAAAGCTAGTAAGACAGGAACAGTGTGAGCATCTCTCCTTCCTTGTACAGTGGGGCTGGAACCACCCTGAGTTACATTTTATGTGTTGGGATGAATCAGATTGCACTGTGAGCCAATGGCATTGGGTGGAGTGTGTGTGTGTGTGTGTGTGTGTGTGTGTGTGTGTGTGTGATATATGCACCATGCAATATATATCACACGTGTGTTGCTACCATGTGTGATCATGACCATCACACACACACTCACGAGCGTGCAGACACACATATACAACATACGTGTATTGTATGGAATGATGGACTTCACTATGACACTCTCAGCATCTGCACCATGTACTGTGATCTTATAGACACGTGTTATCCTTCTCCCTACCCTCTATCACCTCATCATACACTGCCCATCTCTCCTCTCTAGTATTGTATGGATCGTATACATGCGCCAGGGTCCTTTACCCATGTCTCTGTTCATGGGTGTGTAAGTTGGTTCCATGGCTTGGCTCCATGTTACATATATTTAGAAGACACAAAAGCAGAAGGGAACTTCTGGGGGTTGAGGAAGGGGGTGGTGACACTGGGAGTGGAGAAGGCAGGGGACAGGGCAATGGGAGCAAACTAGCAAAGTGCAATGGCACATATGCTTGAATATGTCATAAGGAACCACCATCTTTTATTTGCTACAGAGAGAGAGAGAGAGAGAGAGAGAGAGAGAGAGAGACAGACAGACAGACAGACAGACAGACAGACAGACAGACAGGAAAATTTAGTGAGATGGTGGCTCTGGGGTTCAAATGACAATGGCCTGGATTGGGGTGAAAAAAGAGATGAGACAGATGCAGAGATGTAGGAAGCCGGTTCCTGCATTATAATGCTGCCTGAAGACACCAAGGTGTGAATTACTTCACAGGCGCTGGGTAATCTCCATTCCTTTGATCTCTGCCTATCCCGTGGCTCATTTTGGCCTGAGGAGCTGGAGCCATTCATAGGGTAATACGTCCCAGGCGGCTGGTCAGCCTTTTATATAGGGATGGTTTTCTTAGTTCAATGTCTCTGCTTAGTCTCTGCTTAGTCTCTGCTTAGTCTCTGCTCACTCTCTGCTCAGTCTCTGTTCAGTCTAATGCATTAAAGCTTG